CACCAGCACCAGCACCGCCACTCAAACTGGTACCACCAGCACCAGCACCAGCACCACCACTCAAACTGGTACCAGCACCAGTACCACCACCACCACTCAATCTGGTACCAGCACCAGTACCGGCACCACCACTCAATCTGGTACCAGCACCGCCAGCGCTGCCACTGATGCTGGTTCCGGCTCCTGCACCCCCACCAACACCACTGATAACGATGGTGCCATCATCAAGGCCGTTGCCCCCAGCGGAGCCGCCGCCGCCGCCCAGAGTGATGCCAATTTGGGTTTTGGAATCCGAGCCTCCAGCTCCCCCTCCAGCTCCCAGGATGACCGTGTCAGTACCAGTACCGCCAGCGCCGCCGCCTACATAAGTGTTGATGTCATTGGTAAAACCAGACAGCCGACTGGTGCGAGCATTGGCAACCGAGGCCTCGGCCTCCAAGGTCGCCACTCGGTTCTTCAGCTTCCTCACATCCTCAGCTGGAAAGAAAACAACAACATTTAATGAATACTTTGACAAAAAGTAAAGACTAAAGCAGAAATTATCCTACAAATGTTGATTTTTAATTGGGGTTTAGTTTTAAACCTGAGGCCTTGGTGGTCAGTTTGACCCAAGGGCAGCAGGAGGGTTCATCTAAAAAGACTGTGCATAAAGAAAAGCCATACTCCTAAAATCATGAGCTGAGAGGCCTCCTCTCCGTTACACATCCGTACAAATGAAGCATTTAAAACTCAAGTGTAACACAACTAATCCATGTGTTCAGAGACAACACTGAAAACGTCAACACAAAATATGAAAGTGTGATCTTATTGGTGCCGAACAGTCTGTGGGATAAATGTTGGTAAATCTGAAACATATTCCAGCACTTCAGCCTGTGTATAAAATACTGGCCGAATTATGAAAACTTTAATTTAATAGTCTCTGTTTGCAATTATTTTATGAATGCATACATAACTAATGCTGCAATGCTTTGATATTAAAGGACAATTACAATTCTGGTGTGTGTGTGTGTGTGTGTGTGGGGGGGGGGTACATAAATTAAAAACTGTCAGTGCTCTTATGCTTCGATGCTGTTGCACAATAGAAATAAAATTTATGCTGCACTGGGAGTTGTTTAGTTGTTGTTGTTTTTTTGTTTTTGTTTTTTTTTATGCCCTTGAAAATAATTATATCTTTTTGGTGCCAGCTGCTCTCAGCATTCTCTAAACTTTACGCTTTGTTTTGTAAAATTTTCAAAACTTGAAAAGACTTATTGCTCATATAGTAATTTTATAGAAAAAATAAAACACCAAACATATAAATTCTTAATAATTTTATCACCTTTAACCAACAGCTAACACACGTTTTGCTTCATTGTTTGCTTTCTGATTACACAGATTGTGAAACACTGGATTAATGTTGTATGGGGGGGATTATCAGTGACTGTTTTTCAGGTTGTGGTTTGTACAAGAATACATGCAACAACATCCTCCATAACATATTCTACAGATTTACTTTCACAGGTGCTTGTTAGCACATTTCATCAGGATAATTCTGCATCACAACAAAGGCAGCAATCTGATGTCATCGGGCAACTATTTCCAAAAGTTTCTCCACAACGAGAGCCAGACTTTATGAGAGGGGGAGAGCCTGCAAAGATCACATTTCCAGGGCAATGACTGGGTGTGCTGCCTCACAGCTTTGGGAAATAATGCTCACCAGCTTGTAAAAGTAAAAACACACATTTTATTTGAGCAAAAACAATCACACCCAGACACCAGCGCCAGAACCCAAGGCCTGCTGAGGTGTTCTCCTTAAAGAAATGTTTATTCTCCCATGTCTGATACTGGTATAAGTCCATGTTACCCAGTGCAATGAGGCCAAACAGGAGTCCCAGCAGGAGGAGGGCGAGGAGGAGCAAACCCAGCAGCCACTTCCACCAGGAGCAGCATGCGTCGGAGCAGCAGCAGAAGCCTCCACCTCCAAAGATGCCACTGTCTCTGTGGATCTCTGAGGACAGACAGTTAAAACATGGGAAGGTTCACAATCAAATGTTTCTTAAAAGCATATTAACTTCAAATATTTAAGTTATATATAGTATATATATATATATATATATATATATATATATATATATATATATATATTTATATTTATTACTTCTTTGTAAATTGTCTTGAGTTGAGTTTTGTTGTGAATGGGCAAAACTGAACATAAATAAAATGAATGTTGGTTTTTTCAGTTTATGAATGATCCCAAAACAAAGAAAGATGTCTATCACCTCATCAAAATGCATCATTTGACTTATTTTACTAAAAGCATAAACTCTTAAAATTAATTTGTAATTTGAAATGCAGCAACCGTGATTGTTTTGTTTTTCTTCCATGGGAAAAAATTTATTGTGATAATTAAAACATCTCTAACCAAGTCAACGCTTCAGCATACCTGCATAGGTTGCTTTGTCTTTCATTAAAACTCCAGATGATCCATCTGTTGGAGAAACAGATGAGTGTCACCCATGCATGTTTAAAATAATAACTTTCAAAGTTTATTTCAAAATTATACTTTACATTATCAATGCTCACAGTAAGAGTTGCCTGTCTCTGCTTTCAGTGGGACCGTGTCAACATAGCTGGAAATGAGCTTCTCCTTCTTTATGGAATCACCCGACAGTGAACCTGCAAAGCACACAAAATGCAACGCAGCATAAGCTTTCATCAAAAAAAATCTAAATATTGAAGCTTAGAAAAAAATTAAGCAAAAGTATTAAAATTACAGGCAGACCGAGAAACAAAACTAAAACAGGAAAAACTTAATGAGGAATCAGAGGAAGGTTTATGAAAAGCAATAATCAGAAACTAATTTAAGGATTAAAGTTAGGCCGACCCACATCTAAGAACAGATTAGTCATCTTAATTTGTGAGGATTGTGCAAATCCAGGAACCTCAAATTCAAAATTAAATAAGTTTATCAGCTTCCAACTGGACTTAATTCAGTCCAGATTATTTTGTAGCCTTTATTTTGGTGGTGTTGTGTAAAAATAAAGTTGTAGAATGAAACTCAGACAAGAAAAACGTCCCTGCAGGGTTGCCAGATTTACATAATCACGTTTTTACCTCCTCCTTTTCTCTATTCTGTGCACATGTTTACCAAACACAACACGTGTCTCATCTTACAACACCTTCACTCAGCACAAGTGACTGTTTGGGTCAAAATATTATAATTTTAAAGCAACAGTACAATAGTTCATCGCTGCTTATCTGGCAACCCTGTACCCTTTTTCTCCAGAAGTGGTCAATGTGTGCCTCACTCACCTCCTCCAGTATGAACACCGCTGCTGCTGATGGTGGTGAACTGTTTCCCACTGTCTTTGGCCAAAATGAGCATTTCTGCGTCTCTCCTGGCTGGAGCGTTCTCCTTTTCAGAAACCACGTACTTGTAGTCCCTCCTGTACGCATCGTCAGTCGGGAATCTTGTAGCTGACAGCAGGAGACTCAGTCAGGAGGGAGCCGAACTTTATGATTTGTACCTGACTAACTTTTCCAGACTTACTTGTAGAGACTCCAGAGCTGATGACACCTCCACCGTTTGACACGTTCTTCTGAACGCCGTAGCCTGTCAACACAAACACACCCTCCAAAATAAAAGACCTGCATATATATGTTTTTAGCTTGCAATAAAGCTGAGATTGTGCAGACACGCTGCAGTACCTCCAACGTTTGCAGAGACACTGGTGCCACTGGTGGTAAGAACACCTCCAGAGGTGGGTGCCAGATTATTCTGAAAGCCGTAAACTGTAAACAGAGATTAGGAAACGGAATTATTTAATGTCACAGGGTTGACATGTTCGATCAAATACAACATCAGTTTATAAAGACTGGGACATTTTGGACCCTGGACAGCAAGTCCAAAGTCATGTTGTAATGGATGCTTAGTTCAGCACTGTTTTGCTGAAATATGCAAGGCCTTCCCTGAAGTAGACAACACCTGGATGGGAATATGTTCTTCTAAAACCTGTAGACACTTTTCTGGATTGCTGGTCCTTTTGCAGATGCTATATACAAAACCCCATACCATCAGAGAGGCAGGACTTTGAGTGCTGCTAACAGGCTGGATGGTTCCTGGAGAACATGGCATTTATGGTTTCCATTTTTTTTTTTTTTTTTTACCATAGAACAGTCTTCCACTTAGCCTCAGTCCATTTTATATGAGCTTTGGCCCAGAGAAGATATGGCAACGTTTCTGAATGGTGTTTACACGTGTCTATTTGTTGCATGATAGAGCTTTAAGCGTCATTTGTGGAAGGCACAGTAGTGTAATGGTTTGTGTAAGTGTTCCTGACCGCATGCAGAGATTTTCAGAACAAAATCCGACCTGTTTTAACTCAGTGCTCTCTGAGGATCACTTACTTTGATTTTCAATCTTGTCCTTTGAGCTCAGAGATTTATCCAGATTCTTGAAATCTTTTGATGATAATATGATGACGAAGGGATATACAGGTACAAAGTCTTCCTAATTTTACACTACGGAACTTTACTCTGAAATTGTTCCACTTTTTAGATGCAGGTCTATGCGGACTAGTGAACATCTGCCCATCTTTACTTTGAAAGGATTCAACCTGCTCTTTTTATACCCAGTCCTATTTCTGACCTGTTGACAATTAACCTAATAATTAGCTAACTCCTCCAGCTGTTTCTTACTGGCACAACTTATGTTTATTTTATAACTTATTATAAATAGTATGCATTTTTTAACTTATTATATTTTATAACTTGTTATACAATATACTTTGTTTATTTTATATGATGCATATTATATACTTTATATTGCTTTATTATTGAATATAGTCCTTTGCCACCCTAGTTATCACCTTATGTTTATATTTCCTATAGTAATAATTTAATTAATGTTTTTTTTGTATTATTATTACAGAAACACAGCAAATAAATCACCCAGGCTGGATATCTGCCTCCACGGCCGGCCCAAGCCTCCATGGGGCCGTAAGCGAAATTTGGTTTGGGGCCCTCTATTTCTGCTAATAATGTGGATTAATCAGCAATCAGATAATCAGATCATCCACACAGCTAACATAAACTCACTGCAACTCTGACAGCCCTGTTTACATGATCCTATATGTATAAATCATTTAGTGCAGGGGTGTCAAACTCATTTTCATCAAGCATCAAGCTCATGAATGTCCTCAAAAGTCGGGACATGGCAGAATGTATAGATAAAACTACCTATTAACAAACTGGTAAAGTATAACTTTCTCCACTTTTGATGACTACTTCGAGTAATTTGGCATTAACATAAAAACTGATTTGATTCGACTGATAAAGTAATATTGAAGCACACAACTGTTATCATGAAGTTCTGTTTCTGTGGCCCTCAAGGGTGTAGAGTCACAGAAATGGTTATGGTGGGACGGATTTGGCACATGGGCCTTGAGTTTGACACATGTGCTCTAGTGGTACTAACAGTAACAAAAGATTTAAAAAAACACCAGTATGAAATGTATTTTACAGCAAAAGTGTCGTCTGGCTAATTAATTTTAGTTCCAAAGAACTGCAGCAGTAATGTTCAAAATAATTTGTAGTGCAAGATCAACAACAAACAGATCAAATAACTTAGATGCATAAAAATAAATTAAATTGTGCAAAAAAACAGACAAAATTATATTTAAAAAAATATGTATCAAGGAAATAATGTAAATTAACAATTGCTTGAAACCACGTAAAATGGTTAAAAAAAGAAATTTAATGTTGAATTAGTTCTTAAAACTATGTAAATGTGTGCAACAATTTGCAAAAGCTGAACTTAAAATGTTAAACAACCTTTACCCACACATTTGACCCGTTTATGTAACTTCTTCTTCAATACTTCACAAACTTCCTAAAACCTGTGCTTCCGCTTAGGGGGCCCCCTAGTGGCCCCGGGGCCCTAAGCAGTCGCTTAGTTTGCTCATGCCTTGGGCCGGCCCCGTCTGTCTCCATGTTCTTTAATGGGAACACCCCTTCATACCTTGCCGCTCTAAACCAGATCATTTCCTGGAGAACAACTTACTTGTACAGTCTTAGAGCCCCGTCTCAACTGTTTTTTAACGTGTTGCTGCCATTAAATTCAAAATTACCTTTTGTTTCATGAAAATGGTACAATGTCGTAGTTACCACACATGGTGCCTACGGTGTTCCCTTGTAAATAAAATGTGGCTTTTAGACATTTACAAAGCATTGTGTTGTTTTTAATTTACATTTTACACAACATCCCAGACTTTTTCAGAGTTGGGTTGTGGTTAGAACGCTACAAAACAACAAAGACTTCAAATTGTGCTTGTAAAGACAAGAGTCACTGAGAACTTCAGGTATTTGGACAATATTCTTAAAGATGGTACCTGAGAGGGATGGGGGTGAGGCGGGGCTGAGTGGTGGGGACCCCACTGGCATGTTGTTGGTGCCGGCCTGGCTGACCTGGTAGGTGTAGCTGCTGGTGTTGCCAGCCACAGCTGTAGCTGGGCAGGAGGAGGGCAAGGTTGTGGTGGACCAGGAAAACGTGGGAAAGGCGGCGTCCAGCGTGTCATACTGGCCTGACCTCACACTGTCATACTGAACTGATCTCAAACCAGTATCATACTGCCCTGATTTCAGACTCATATCATACTGTCCTGACTTTAAACCAGTATCATACTGGCCTGATTTCAGACTCGCATCATACTGTCCTGACTTTAAACCAGTATCATACTGGCCTGATTTCAGACTCATATCATACTGTCCTCCTGACTTTAAACCAGTTTCATACTGGCCTGAACTCAGGCCAACGTCATACTGGCTTGATTTGACGCCCGTATCATAATGGCTTGATTTAAGTGTGACGTCATAATGTCCTGTTTGGACTCCAGTCTCACGCTGCCTAGTAGTCAAACCAGTGTCATAGAGGCCAGGTATGTCAATGGTGTCGAAGCCAGCTGTTCGCAAACCGGAGCCGAATGAGGACGACACTGTTGGGCAAGAAAACACAGAAAATAACATTTGGAAAGTGTTTCTTTGATCTTTTTTTACTTGTGATGTAAACTTTATTGCAGTTTTGCCAAAACTTAGCTTTACTTGAAGGGCAATTTCCTGAAAATGGTATTTTAAGAAACTTGTACATGTTTATTTTGTTAAAAGGGTACAGTACTCTTTAAAAAAAAGTACACTAAAGTGAACAATAACTTCCAGCTTTAAAACCCAGCAGAAGGTTTATGATATTTTCAAAAAAAGAGTAAAAATAACACCATTTGTGATTTCAGTTACAGGCGAACTAACCTCTAATCTTTCAATTTAACCAACCTGGACACTTCTACATGTAAATAAATGTTTTCCCATTTGCTTAAAAATGGATTAAACTTATGAAATGTGTTTCCTCAGATCAAGAAATCTTTTTTTTGCAACAACCCTGGCAGCAGGTGTTGTAGAGCCCAGGGAGCAGAGCTAAACAGGGATCAGCTTCATGTAAGCAGACCCAGGTTTTCTGAGTAAATCCAGAATGTATATTGTCGTTATAAGTGCTGTTTTAGGCTACTATGTTCAATTTTGTAACTTTTTTTGATTGGTGGTGTGCCGTGGGATTTTTTTAGATGTAAAAATGTGCCTTGGATTTAAAAAAAAGTTGAAAAACACTGTCCTAAACTGAGATCAAGGGATTTCCCCAACCTCTATTTTTAATCCTACACCTGGCACTCGCAAGACTCTGTAACTGTGGATGGCTTACTGGTAATAGTGACTCGCTGCCCCCTTTTTTTTAGATCTACTTTTAGAAGCATATCCTTGAGTTTTGAAGAACAAGATGCTTTGTGATGACAGTGCAGCCATTAGAAAGAATCTGAGGTGGTATAAAAACATGTGGGACGGAGACAAAGTGTCTATGAATGTGCAGCCTGTGCGTCTCTCTCGTAACAGAATATACCTGACTGAGTGGCCACGGAGACCGTCTTGGCCTCCACGCTGGACTTTTTAGGGACAGGCAGGGTGATGGAAGCGCTGGAGGAGCGAGTGGGGCTGACACTGCTGGAGCGACCCTTCAGCAGCTTCTTCACGTCTTCCAGCTCGGCCCCTGCAGAACCAGTCAGTCACACAAACCAGGTTTAAAAACAACAACTTACCGAAAGAGCTACGAGCAAATTACAAGTAAAAGGGCTGACACATTCATTTATGAATTTTTTTTTGTTTTTGTGTTAAGACATCTGGATTTTATTTCTTTGCTGTCTTTGTTGTGGAAGGTTAATGATGTTTCAGATGTTTTTTGTTAAAATATTTTAAGGAAACACTTAAATACTCAAAAAAGTCAAATATTTTCCTTTAAAACATAATGAACTGGTACCCATAAGTAGAAGCAAATGTAACAGAATACACTTATACACCGTTTTAATTTGCTATTTCTGATAGTTATTTTCCTGTTGTTTAATTTTTTTATTCATCATTTTGCAATCTAAGAACTTCTGCATGCTTTCTGCTATTTTAACCATTTATGTATCAAACATTCAGCTTTTAGATAGCTTTTAACTACATTTGCTAAGCTTTTGCTATCTTTAGCTTTTAGCTAGCATTTAACTACTTGTTTGTAGCTAAACTTTTGCTATTTTTAGCTTTTAGTTAGCATTTAACTATTTTGCTAAGCTTTTGCTACTTTTAGCTAGCTTTTAACTACCTGTAGCTAAACTTTTGCTATTTTTATCTTTTAGTAAGCTTTTAACTACTTTTGCTCAGCTTTTGCTACATTTAGCTTTTAGCTAGCATTTAACTACATTTAGCTAAGCTTTTCTACTTTTAGCTTCTTTAACCACTTTTCCTAAGCTTTTGATGCTTTTAGCCACTATTTTGCTGCCTTGTCATTTGGCTACTTTTAGCATGTATCTATGGTTTTGTGAGTGTTAGTTTTTTAGCTAGTGTTTCACAACTTTTATCTCACATTGTGCTACTTTTGGGTTTTAGCTAATGTTCTGCTTCTTTCAGCTTTAACAACATTGTTTCAGCTTCTTCAGCACACATTCAGCCTTTTCTCGAGTTAATTTGCAGCATGTTTTTTAAAATGAACTACAGGCCTCTTGGGCAACAGTCAGTTCTCCCATCAGGAGGTTAAAGGTGCTGCAGACCACATGTTGCGTAATGTTGATGAAGTAGCTGCAGTTACAGTCTTTAACCATCAGGGGGCGCAAGGAGAACATCTGTCCAACTGTGAGTCTCCATTGTTTTGATTCAAAAGCAGGAGTGACTCATGAGTGCCACTGTTACCATCCACTTCTGGCCTTTTACCTCCTCAGCACGTGGTCTCTTTACAGACAAACTCACGACCACACCCTGCTCGTTTTCAAAAAAATTTTTTTGTTTCCACGAAACTAACTGTGCATGTGTTTCTAGTTGAAATTTCACGGCACTTAAAAAGTGGAATGTGACTTTGTCATGCGCTGACTTTTGAGCCAAACCATTTGACTGCAACAAAACTGTAAAGAGACACATCCCCTGGGAGAAAGCTTCCTCAGTGCAAGTGCTTCTTTGAAGGAAAAAATTTTTTTTTTTTTTGTTCTCTCTATTTTTGTGAGAAGTTGCGTAACATCTGTGAAAGGATCAGCGTCTCCAGGGGTCTTACATCTTCCGGCAGAGGGGGAGGCACTTTGTAATCTGGCTCTGATCTCACTCTCTGGAAGAAGAAACAAAAATCACAACAGGCCAAAAAAATCTCGGTTTAATAAAAAAAAAAAAAAAGTCATAAAAAGTAAGCCAGGACGAGTCAGAGTCAGATGGAGCATAAATAATGATGGATGAATACCTCTGCTTTCACTCCTCCCTCTTGAGGAGCTGGCGCCTGAAAAGAGAAGGAGACGTCAAACCATCTTTAAGTAAAGCTGAAAACTCCTCAGCTGTCCCAGTCTCTTACAGTAGTTTCCATAATCTTTGCGTGTGAGTTCTGGAGAGGAGTTTCCACTGGAACTCCCTAAAACAAAACACAGCAAACGTAAACGACACATGCGCCACTTCTTCCATTGTTCTCCCCCTTCAGGACCAGGACCTCACCATCGTAGCCCCCCGAGCGGCTGGATATGGTCTTCCTCTCCCTGAAGGCCGGCGACAGGCCTCCTGAGGAGCCAGCAGTCTGCGCCCGCCTGGCACCGCCCGACGAGCTGGACCGGACCTTTGACACGGAGCTCACCACATAACTGCCCCCACCTCCTCTCCCAAAGCTCTCGCCATCTATGTAGCTCCCCGCTCCCTCCCCTCCTCCCGAGGAGTCTCCCCCGAGGTAGATTCCCGAGGAGGAACTGTAGCTGCTGGTCACACCTACAGAGGCTGGAGGGACAAAATATATATCAATTGTTTTTAGCTTTTTCTTTTTTTACTGGGAATCATTTTGGTTGTCTGTTAGCAAAATATCTCATGAACCACAAAATTGATTTTATTGAAACTTTTAGGAAATAATTACTGAACATATTTCTACAAATGATTAACTTTTACAGCTAATTCATTTTAAAATGGCTGCCGCAGCCAGCTGAAGTTAGAAAACACAAAAATGGCGTCGATTCGGTCAGTTTTACAGTAATTGGGCTAAAATTTGGTGTGGGTGTAGCCGAGATCATTCTCCACCACGAAAGTATTTCAAGTATGACTCTCTCTGTGAGCTCTTTGCTAAAACTGTACACAAACTGTTGGAGTTAACCCTGTTCGTCTGTTAGCAAAATATCTCATGAACCCCTGGAAAGATTTCAATTAAGCATTCAGAAAGTAATCAATGGAAGTGCGTCTACAACTGATTAACTTTTGGAGTCGGACCAGTTTAAGATGGCTGCTACAGCTGATGAACACTAGCCAACACAAAATCAGCTATAACTCAGTTTATTTGACAAATATTGAGCTAAACTTTAATGTGGTAGTAGCTGAGAGTTGTTCACAACACATGTTGTGAGCTTGACATCTCACTGTATTGACACAACTGTTTTATAACTTATTTTATAGGTTTGACCAAAACGGCTTCTTCATTTCACATCATCAGATGATCTTAGTCTAAAAATATAACACATTTTAAATATATATTATTATAACGTATCAGTTGTATCTGTAGTGTATTATAAATATATATTATTATAACGTATCAGTTGTATCTGTAGTGTATTATAAATATATATTATTATAACGTAT